AGTCTCTGACACTCCACTCCACATGCCACTTCTGACAATACATTCTCTTATCCCACAAATAAACCTTAGGCCTTGGTTATTGAAAGGTATTAATGTCAAATTATATCATGTCCAACGGGTTACCCTTCTTCATGGCCTTCCTAGGGGTGCGGTTTGGGCTGACAGATGCAGATTATTTCCAGTATCTCCGAGTTCAACATCTTCTGTTGGCTTGGCCCCCGCCAAATCCATTTACCACAACGTCTAAATAACATTTTTTCTATCTACTCCCCCCAAAAGTAAGGGTATTTCTTGAATATACAATATTTTACAAGACAAATTAACCTCTCTCAAAATAGGACCCTTCTTACACTGGGAAGATTTTGCACTCCTCCTTTGCTCACTCCCAATGAAAGAGCGCTCTCAAACTAATTTATAAAGCCTCACACTGTGTACAGCATTGGGGATTGACTCAAAAAATCTCTCTCCGTTGGTACCTCACTCCTTATCGTTTGGCCCAATTCTCTCTGTCCCAGTCCCCATTATGTTGGCGTGAGTGTGGACAAGTTGACAAGGGGGGGGAGGAGGGAGAAGGGGAGAGGAGGAGGGAGAAGGGGAGAGGAGGAGGAAAAGCGGGAAGGGAGGGAGGAGAGCAGAGGGAAAAGAGGGAGGAGAGGAGGGGGAAAGAGAGGGAAGGGGAAAGGGAGGGGAGGGAAGGGAAGAGGGGGGGGGAGGGAAAAGAGGGGGAAGGAGGGAAGGGAAAAGGGAGAGGGGGGGGAAAGGGAGAGAGGGAGGAGGGGGGGAAGGAGAGAGGGGAGGGGGGGGGAAAAAGGGGGAGGGGGGGAAGAGGGGGGGGAGAGGGAAAGGGGGAAGGGAGGGGATGAGGGGGAAAGGGAGAGAGGGAAAGGGGGAAAGGGAGAGAGGAAAGGGGGAAAGGGAGAGAGGGAATCGGGGGAAAAAAAAGGGAGAGAGGGGGGGGGAAAGGGAGAGAGGGAAGGGGGAAAGGGAGAGAAGGGAAAGGGGGGAGAGAGGGGGGAAAGGAGAGAGGGAAAGGGGGAAAGGGGGGAGGGGGGGGGGAAAGGGAGAGAGGGAGGGGGAGGAAAGGGAGAGAGGGAGGGGAGGGAAAGGAGAGAGGAAGGGGGGAAGGGAGAGAGGGGGGGGAAGGGAGGAGAGGGAGGAAGGGAGAGAGGGGGGGGAGAGAGGGGGGGGGGAGAGAAGAGAGGGGGAGAGAGGGGGGGGACGAGAAAGGGGAGAAGGAGAGAGGGGGGGGGAGGGAGAGAGGGGGGAGAGAGAGGGGGAGAGGGGAAAGAGAGAGGGGGGAGGGAGAGTGAGGGGGAAAAGGAGAGAGGAGGGGGGAGGAGAGAGGGGAGAGAGGGGTAGAGAGGGGAGAGGGGGAGGGGGAAAGAGAGGAGGGAGAGGAGAGGGGGAGGGGGAGAGAGAGGGGGGGGGGAGAGAGAGGGGAGGGAGGAGAGAAGGGAGGGGGAGAGAGAGAGAGGAGGGGGAGAATGAGGAGAGGAGGGAGGGGAGAGACATAAGGAGAGAGGGGAGAAGAGAGGAGGGGGAAGGAAGGGAGAGGAGGGGGGAAGAGAGAGGAAGGGGGGAGGGAGAGGGAGGGGAAAGGGAGGGAGGGGGGAGAGAGGGAAGGGAAAAAGAGGGAGGGGGGGGAAAAAGAGGGAGGGGGGGGAGGGGGAAAAGGAGGGGGAGGGAGGGGGAGGGGGAAAAGAGGGGATGGGGGGGGAAAGGGGAAAAAGGGGAGGGGATGGGGGGGGAGGAGGGAAAAGAGGGATGGGGGGGAGGGGGAAAAAGGGATGGGGGGGGGGGGGAGAGGATGGGGGGGGAGGGGAAAGAGGGGATGGGGGGGTGGGGGGGAAAAGAGGGATGGGGGGGAGGGGGAAAAGAGGGATGGGGGTGGGGGGGAAAAGAGGGATGGGGGGGTGGAGGGGAAAAGAGGGAATGGGGGTGGAGGGGGGAAAAGAGGGATGGGGGGGGAGAGGGGGAAAAGAGGGATAGGGGAGAAAAAAAAAGAGGGATGGGGGGGGAGGGAAAAAGAGGATGGGGGGGGGAGAGGAAAAGAGGGATGGGGGGGAGGGGGGAAAAAGGGATGGGGGGGAGGGGAAAAGAGGGATGGGGGGAGGGGGAAAAAGAGGGATGGGGGTGGGGGGGGAAGAGGGATGGGGGGAGAAGGGGGAAAAGAGGGAGGGGGGTGGAGGGGGAAAAGAGGATGGGGAAGAGGGGGAAAAGAGGGATGGGGGTCGGAGGGGAAAAAGAGGGATGGGGGAGAGATATGGAAGGGGAGAGATAGGAGAGGAATGAATAGAGAGGAGGAGGAGGGGAGAGGGAAGGAGGAGGGGAGAGATGGGAGGAAGGATAGAGAGAAAGAGAGGGGGGGGGAGGGAAAAGAGGGGGGGAGGAGAGGGGAGGAAGGGGGAAGGGGGGGAGGAGGGGGAAGGGAGGATTGGGGGGAGGGAAGGGGGGAAGAGAGGGTAGGGAGGGAGGGGGAGAGGGGAAGAGAGAGAGGAAGGGGAGAGAGAGAAGAGGAGGGGAGAGAGAGGAGGGGAGAAGGGAGGAGGGAAGAAGGGGGAAGAGAGAGAGAGGAAAAGGTAAGAGAGGGAGGGGGGGGAGGAGGGGAAGGGAGAGAGAGAGAGGAGGGGGGAAGGGAGGAGGGGGAGGAGAGGGGGAGGGGGAAGGGAGAAGGGAGGAGGGGGAAGGGGAGGAGGGGGGAAGGAAAGGAGGGGGAGGGAGGAGGGGGGAAGAGGGTGGGGAGGGAGAGAGGGGGGGAAGGGGGAGAGAGAAAGAGAAAGAGGGGGGGATGGAAAGAAGAGGGGGGAGAAGAGGAGAAGAGGAATAGGGGGGGAGAGAGAGAAGGGGGGAAAGGGAAGGGATGGGGGAGGAAGGAAAAAGAGAGGGAGGAGGGGGGAAGAGGGAGGGGGGGGAGGGGGAAAAGAGGGAGGGTGGGAGGGTGAAAAGAGGGGGGAGGGGGGAAGGAGGGAAAAGAGGGAGGGGGGAGAGGAAAAGAGGGGATGGGGAGGGGGGGGATGGGAGGGAGAGGGGGGGGAAGCGAGGATGAAGGGGGGGAGGGGGGAAAAAAGGGATGGGGGGGGGAAGAGAAGGAAAAGAGGGATGAAGGGGGAGGGGGAGGGGAGGGGGGAGAAGGGAAAAATGAGGGGGATGGGGGGGAAGGAAAAGAGGGATGGGGGGGGAAGTGGGAAACGAGGGATGGGGGGGGAGAGGGGCAGAGGGGGAAAAGGAGGGATGGGGGGGACGGAGGAAAGAGGGAATGGGGAGGAAGGGGAAACGAGGGAGGGGGGGAAGGGGGAGAGGGATGGGGGGGAAGGGATGGCGAGGGCTAAAGGGGGACAAAGGGGAAACGAGGGATGGGGGGGGAAAGGGAAACGAGGGATGGGGGGGGAAAGAGAAAAAAGGGAAGGAATGGGGGGGAAGGGAGAGAAACGAGGGAGGGGGGGGGGGAAGGGGAAAGGGGATGGGGGGGGGGGAAAGGGAAAACGAGGGATGGGGGGGGGGGGAAAGGGGAAAGAGGGATGGGGGGGGAAAGGGGAAACGAGGGATGGGGGGGGGGAAGGGAGAGTAACGAGGGAAGGGAAAAGGGAGAATGTAGGGGATGGGGGAAGAAGGTGGAAACGGGATGGGGGGAGAAAGGGGAAACGAAAAGGGGAAGGAAGAGGGACGAGGGGGGAAAAGATAAATAAAGAGAGAGGAGGAGGGGGGAGAGAGTAGGGGAAGAAAGGAAGAGGGGAAGGAAGGAGAGAGGGATGGGGGGAGGTGGAGGGGGAAGGGGGAAAAGAGCAGGGGATTGGGGGGAAGGGAGGGAGGGAAAGGAGAGAGAGGAGAGGGAAAGAGAGGAGGAGGGAGGGGGGGGGGAAGAGAGAGGGGGGGAGAGAGAGGAGGGGAAGGGAGAGAGAGTAGGGGGGAGGAGAGGAGGGGGGGGAAAAGAGAGGAGGGGGGGGGGGAGGAAGAGGGGGGGAGGGGGGGAGGGAGAGGAGGGGAGGAGAGAGGAGGGGAGGGGGAGGAAGGAGGGGGGGAGAAGGAGAGGGGAGGGGGGAGAGAGAGGGGGAAGAGAGGGAGGGAGGGGGAGTAAGAGAGGGGAAGGAGGGGGGGAGAGAGGGGGAAGGGAGAAGAGGAGAGGGGAGAGAGAAAAGGGAGGAGAGGAGGGGAGAGGGAAGGAGGGGGAAGGGAGGGGGAGGGAGGAGGGGGGAAAGAGAAAGAAGGGGGGAGGAGGGGGAAGGGAGGGAGGAGGGGGGGAGGGGAGGAAAAGGGGGGAGGGGGGGGAGGAGGGAAGAGGGGGGAAGGGGGGAAAAGTAGGGGGGGAAGGGAGGAGAGAGAGAAGAGAGAAAGAGGGGGGGGGGGGGAAGGGAGAGGAAGGGGGAGAGAAGAGAGGAGGGGGGAGGAGAGGGGGGGAAAAGAGAGATGGGGAAGAGGGGAAAAGAGGGATGGGGGGGGAAAAGAGGGATGGGGGGGGAAAGGGAGCGTAAGGGAAGAAATAAGGGAAAAGGGGGGAGAAGGGGGGAGAGGGGGGGGGAGAGGGGGGAGGGGGGAGAGAGAGAGAGAGGGGAGGGGGGAAGGGAGGGAAGAGAAAAAAGGGGGGAAGGAGGAGGGGGAAGGGGGGAGAGAGGGGGGAAGGGGAGAGAGAAGGGGAGGGGGAGATGAGAGAGGAAAGGGGAAAGAGAGAGGAAGGAGATAAGGAGAGAGAGAGGAAGGGGAGAGAGAGAGGAAGGAAAAAAGGGAGGAAGGAGGAGGGGGAAGGAAGGGGGGGGGAAGGGGAGAAGAGAGAGGAGGGGAAAGGGAGGAGGGGGGAAGGGAAGGGGGGAAGAAGGAGGGGGAGGGGGGAAGGAGGGGGGGAGGGAGGAGGGGGGGAGAAGGGAGGAGGGGGGAAGGGAGGAGGGGGGGAAAAGGAGGAGTCAGGAGAGGGGGGAAGAGAAAGAGACAGAGGGGGAGGGTGAGAGACAGAGGGGAGAGACATCCCTCCTTTCCCCCCTCTATTTTGTAGTTCCCCAGCAGGGAAGGTGTCTCTGAAGTCAAGGACCAATACCCAGCTTACGGCCCCGTGGAGGTATGGGTGGATACCTCAACTAGAGCCAAAATCTCCCCCTAACTCATATTTTGGCCCATAACTTTCCATCTACACAAAGGACATTCCACCCGCGGGTAGATTTTATTATGCAGACAAATCTGAGGATTGATTCGATATGAATTATGAAATTATACACTGAATGGTTCACGAGAACTATTTTTTCTGCTTTCCTATGTGTCCGAGTGACCCATCAAACTGTTCGCCTGCTCATCGCCCATCTGACGATATGCCTGGTTTTTATGTAAGTCTCTTATATTCCAAGATATAAGACATAGGGGAAAGATGGATTTGAACAAAGGTTATCTGATTCTGTCACATATGCTGAGTTAGGTTTATTAGGTTGGAATCTCTTTCAACTCCTGGGAAAGCTTGCCTTATCTCTTCCGAGGTGTTACAATTTGCAGGTTCTTTGGACAAGCAGGCCCCGACTCCCTTGGGGGGCTTTATAGCTCCTATGACCCTCCTGTGACATTCCTAACTCACACACATCTGGCCAAATGTTGCTGGGCCTCTCCGATAGGGAGGGGGGAAGAATGAGGGAGAAATATAATTTGTCAGGAGGGTTAATCCCTTTGCCAAGATGGAGGTTGACGCCAAAATGGTTGAACCGTGTCCATCTCTAGGTATACGCAGTTACAGGGGGAGAGAAGGGAAACTCAGAGCAGGGCCGCCATAAGAAATAGTGGCATCATCATGGTAAATCAGTCCCACATCAGTCAGATCACATTCCAAAGCATCCCTAGAAAGAAGAATAGGTAAACTTCTCCTTAGTCAGCTGCTGCATTAGGGCGCCCTCTAGAATCCAGCTGGCATGAGGCATCCACTGTATTGAAAAAATGCACCACTGCCTCTATCCACCATCCTAAGCTTTGCAGGGTATAGCAAACTGTAAGTCAGCTGGTAGTCCCGCAGTCTCTTCTTCACATGGACAAAGCTGACATGCTGTTTCTGCTTAGCTGCAGAAAAGAGCTCTCCCCCCCCCCCCCAAACTTGTGATCTACCAGAACTCCCAGATCCTTCTCCACCATTGATTCCCTCAGTTGTACCCCCCTAGTATGTATGATGCATTCTTAGCCCCCAAGTGCATAACCATATATTTATCAACATTAAGCCTCATTTGCCACATAGTTGCCCAATTAAACAGTGCACTGAGGTCGGCTTGTAAGTTGAAGACATCCTGTAAGGACCTTATTCCACTGCACAGCTTGGTGTCATCTACAAAGACAGAAATGGGATTTTTAATCCCAGACCCTAGATCGTTTATAAATATATTAAAAAGTAAGGGTCCCAACACTGAACCTTGGGTACACCACTGATGACCCTAGACCATTCAGCATATGAATCATTAACTACTACTCTTTGAATACAATCTTTTAGCCAGTTTTCTATCCATTTACATACAGATTTTTCCAAGCCCGTAGGTTTTACCTTTGCCTTCAGCAAGTGAAATGCATGCTCAAATGGAGTTGAGATCAGGTGACTGACTCGGCCATTGCAGAATATTCCACTTTTTTCCTTAAAAAGCTCCGGGGTTGCTTCTGCAGTGTGTTTTGGATCATTGTCCATCTGTACTCTGGAACAAAAGAGCTGTCCAGTCATCGTTGCTGCATTTGGCTGAATCTGGGCTGACAGTACATATCTAAACACTGCAGAATTCATCCAGCTGCTTCTGAATTCTGTCACATTATCAATAAACACCAATGACCCAGTGCCACTGGAAGCCATGCATGCCCATACAATCACACTGCCTCCACCATGTTTTACAGATGATGTGTGCTTTGGATCATGAGCTGTCCAAACCTTCTCCGCACTTTTTTTTCTTCCTGTCATTCTGGTACAGATTAATCTTAGTTTCATCCGTCCAAAGAAAGCTTTTCCAGAACTCGTCTGGCTTTTTTAAATGTTTTTGGTAAAGTCTAATCTGGCTTTCTATTCTTCAGGCTTATGAATGGTTTACACCTTGTGGTGAATCCTCTGTAGTTGCTCTCGTGAAATCTTCTCTCGATTGTAGACCTTGACAATGATATGCCCACCTCCTGGAGAGTGTCCTTCACTTGTGTGGATGTTGTGAATGAGTTTTTCTTTACCATAGAGAGGATCCTGCGATCATCCACCACTGTTGTCTTCCATGGACGTCCATGCCTTTTTATTTTGCTGAGCTCAGCAGTGCGTTCTTTCCTCAGAATGTATTAAACTGTTGATTTGGCCACACCTAATGTTGCTGCTATCTCTCTGATGGATTTGTTTAGTTTTTGAAGCCTTACAATGGCCTGTTTCACTTGCATGGACAGCTCCTTTGAATGCACGATGTAGGTTCAAAGCAATAGATTCCAAATGCAAATACCACACTTAGAATCAACTCCAGACCTTTTACCTGCTTAATTGATGAAGAAATAATGAAGTAGCTCACACATGGCTATTTAAAAAAGCTTTTGATACAATTGTCCAATTACTTTTGGTCCCTGGAGAAAGGGGGGGCGGCTACTCTTAGCCTCCCTAGCAGTCTGATTATGTCAGTATTTCTGTACTCAAAGCAGTACATTTTTTTGCATGGAAATATCTTTTTTTATTGTAGGCCTGTAATTTTTTAGGAATAACACTGAAATCTGTCCAAACAAGAGTCTAGTAAACATCCTGGGTATGTTAAAATTTGAAACACAAAATCATAAATAATTTAACAAACAAATAATAATAAATTTAATTCAATAATATAATCAAACCAAAAACACTGAAATTTGAAATAGAGCGCCAAGTTCGCACATCACAGAGCAGTCGCAAAATAGTTTTCAGTGTCTGATGAGGAAATTCCCCACGAATTATTTCCACTCAATTCTGCATGTAGTTCTAATTTACTAATCGCTGTTCTCTAGCTGGTCTAAAACCGCTTTTGACCTAAAGGGACGCTTTTTGGACGCATGAACATTTCTCAGTTTCCAGGCAGAAAGAACAGTAAAAATGCAGGCAGGGAATAGGACAAAGCACTAGGGACAAAATGTATGTGAAATGGTTTGATACAGTAATGTTATACTGTGTGATTTTAGTGTATTTAGTGAATGTCACTTTGACATTTTTAAATTTCCCACCAGTTCTGTCCCCGTACGTTCCTACGTTGCAGGGAACGGAACCCGGAAGACAGATGCCGGAGGACATGGCCGGGGACGCTGCAGGGGGGACATCGTGGGAGTGCAGGACAAGGTAACTGCAGAAGAGATCCCAGTCCGCAGTCTCTGGTCATCTCCTGTAGTACGTCTGCAGTCTCTGGACATCTCCTGGACTATGTCCGCAGTCTCTGGTGATCTCCTATAGTACGTCCGCAGTCTCTGGTCATCTCCTGTAGTACGTCTGCAGTCTCTAGTCATCTCTTAGATTGTAAGCCCCAAGGAGCAGGGCCCTCCTAACCCTCTTGTATTATTGCTGTATTGTCTCCCGTTGTATTGTAAAGCGCTGAGCAAACTGTTGGCACTATATAAATCCTGTATAATAATAATCTCCTCTAGTATGTCCATAGTCTCTGGTTATCTCCTGTAGTATGTCCGCAGTCTCTGGTCATCTCCTGTAGTACATCCACAGTCTCTGGTCATCTCCTGTAGCACATCCGCAGTCTCTGGTCATTTCTTGTACTATAACTGCAGTCCATTGGTTCAGAATATTTTTTTTTCTTGTTTTCCTGCTCTAAAACCTAGGTGCGTCTTATGGTCAGGTGCCAGTGCCCCTGAACAATGATCTGTTTGTCAAAAATCGCTCCATCAAAGTCTGCTGGGAAACCAACACTTTTAGGAGTGACAATTTCATTGGCCCAACAACAACCACCTAACTTCAGTGTGCCTCCATAAGAACTTTGCGTCCAAAAGCTGCATTAGCAGAAGCCACTTTGTAGAACTTTTAAAAATTATGAACAGAGGACCAAGTGGTAGCCTTACAAACCTAAGCTACAGATGCCTGGTGCTGAAATGCCCAGGAAACATCCACCAATGTGGTGGATTGGACATGTAAAAAACAGGAGGTCCTGAGGACATGACAAAAGGAATCTGTGGCTCTGAAAATGTCCAAGAAATGGAGGAATTTTCTTTGGATGCTTTGGAGAAGAGCATAAGGATGGCGGCACTATTTCCTTATAGAGGTGTAAGACAGACTTATATTTGTGAAGTATGAGGGACAACACCTTACAGGAAAGAGTTTCCAACTCAGAGACACACATATCAAAAGGCAAATGACAAGAGGAGGGGGAAGAGCAATACAGTGCTTAGAATCGCTTGATACAGATGGTAACCTCAAAAGGTGGATAAACACAACACAGAAAAAGAAACACAGACAGCATTCAAACTTGAAGGCATACCTTTGGAAAGGTTCTAGATATCTTTGCTGTTTTAATTCAAACAAAATTAACATTTATTGGTCCAAATGGCAAAATTTCTTAAACTAGAAGTTCAGTAGTGGTAAAAAATTGAGATACTACCTAGACTGATATTCCTACTCAGATCTCTTCCAATAAGGGTAGCCAAGAACAACATATTTTCGGAAGAAACTCACTATATTGAAAACTGCCAATGTTACATCATCTACCAAATAGGCTTTACTCTGCCACACTGACCTGATGTGGTGCCTGAAGGTCCCTTTCAGATGGGGCAGACCTGTCAGCGGATCCGCTTGCTCAGATGGGGATCTCTCAATTGATCCCTGCTGAGCAAGTGGATGACAGGTCTGTGTCCATTTTGCTGCTGTAGAGCGGACACAGACACAGCCTGCTGTTTTCTATGGGCGGTCCGTTTCCACCCGACTCATCCGCTCTGATCCGCCAGATGGATGGGGGAACGGATCCCCATCCCTCTGTTTTTTTTAACGTACAGGATCAGATCGGATACTGGTGGGCGTCAACCGCCGGTCCATAGAGGACTATGGATGGTCCGATCGGGTCCGCCTCAAAAACTGACAGGCAGACCCAACCAGACTGTCATTGTGAAAAGGGGGCCGAACAGCAATACCTGCATTTAGGGCTGTATTTGTCCCTGAACAAAAAACTACACATACCTTGCCCTATACACAAGTACCACTTGGTAGTGTCCAGCCACCATGTATTTTAACCTGTCATAGATTTTGCTGGACAGTATA